GGGGTGGGGGGGGGGAGAGTGACCCGGTTATGTGCTCGCTGCAGAGGTGTTTGTCGTCGCGGACGTGCCCTGCTCGCCTCATGTCTGGCCTCATGTCAGTACAGCACGTGAGGTCAGGAGGGACGTGAGCGGCGACACACACCGCTGGAGAAACACTTGACAAGACGGCTGACTGGTGGGGGGTTTCTGTGAATGTGAGCGTGTCCTCTTTGGGAGAGGGGAAAAAAGTGCTCGTCTGCTTTGTCGCGTCTGGCACTCCAGAGCGAGAGAGCATTCGTGTTCACCAGCCGCACCGACCGGGTCATTGACGCAAGCCTCCAGATGTGGAAACTTGTGTCCATGTCTCAGGAGGGGCGGCGGGATACACGAGTGTCTCTCTCCTCTGTGCGCCGAGAAGGGGTTCGGTCAGGGGAGGGGGGGGGAGGACAAGAACTGTATGAGCTTTGATTGATGCAGTGATATCACGGTCAAGGGATGAGGAACGAGCTGTTGAAAAATGAAACTGCAGCAAATCATTCTTCACATGTATACAAGCTTCCATGTATAGAGAAGGAGCGCCCCGAACGACCAAGCCACCGGCGGCCAACGACCCCCACTTAAATGGCCGATTTAGTGGTGTGCGCCGGTAGGTGCGCAGTGCGCAGTATCCGTGAGGGACTGGTATCACATACTTGACGTGGAGAACGAACGCATCATACATACAAACTTGGTTCAGGACAGAAAAAAGTCAATGAGCACTGGACAAACCCAACCGAGAAATGCCGCCTCCCTCCCTCCAATCAGTCCGTCCCCAGCACATCCACACCAATGTCTGTGTGTGCGCATATATCTAAGTGCCGTATGCCTCGTGGAAGCCCCTCGTGCAACCTGACAACCACAAACACACACACAAACACACTCCACGCGTCCTCTGTCTAGACCAGATCTGATTAATGTGTCGACACACACCAGGGGCATTGGGGTCTTCCTCACCGCAGCAATCCCTGCACACACACGGAGAGAGAGTTCACGGACGCGCACCAGTAGCGTGCGGATCCCTCTCACTCTCACCAGTAGTGTCCAGGCCACTTGTCGTGTTTGGGCACCTCTTCTACGGCCGCATAATACTGACATACACATGATTGCGTCAATCACACTCAGACGGGCCTGCACATAGCTGCCGTACCTTAGCGCCTTCTGGGTGGTACCTGCAGACAAACTCCTTCTTGTGATGCTGGCAGCTCGTCGCCGAGTTTGTCGTCACGTCAAACTCCTGAACAAAGGCAGCCAGCGGATGAAGGGAGTCACGTCGATGGACGGAATTCATCGCTTACCTGTTTGCATTTTCGACACTTCCTTGCGTTCTTCGGGGGGATAGATGAAGCGGCGCCACTGTGGGAAACACTGTCCTTTGTTGTTGCCATCTCTGCTCCTCCGAATAAGTTTTGAGCTCGCCACAGTGGATCGCGGCTCCCTCCTCCCTCCCGACCAACCGAGGGTGCTTCATCACAACAGAAAACCCGGCTTTTGTCAAAAATTAAGATGAGCTGCTTCCATCTCACTCTCTCTATCATCGCACTTCCGGGGAGGCTTCAAGTTCAGAAGACCGCAGCCTGACGGAACAGCAGGTGTAGTGTCGGCGTCCCTTATTGACACGGGTGTGTCCGTCCATCTATATCATCGACAATGCTGCGGGAGATCTTGTTTCGGTTATGCCCGTGTCTGCATTGGCTCTTCCGCACGACCAACTATGCCGAGCTCGACACGTCCGTCGGTGACATCGTATCGCCGCGCGTCTTCGGCGCCCGCCAATTCAACAAGGGCGGCTTCGACCTCAACGATGTCCCCGACACAGTGGCGAGCACCGAGTATGACATGGGCGGCCGGGGGCTGAAGATAGTGGAGCTTCCCCCGCAGCTGCAGCCACGAGCAGACGCCTATGCACATGGCGGCGCGGGGAACGGCCAGGTGGATCTCGAGGCGCCTGAGGGGCAGGGGAGCCATCCGGGCGACAGTGAGCATCGGGGGGAGGTGGTGAGGAGGATGGCGGATGCGCTCAAGGGCGACGAGGAGGCGCTGGCATCGCTGGACCGCGGCAAGGTGACGCCGACCCAAGTCAAGCTGATATTCGACCGCTTCGCTAATGACGACCTGCGGGCGATCTGCCAGGGCATCAAGCAGTGCCGCACCATGAAGTCGGTTGAGTTTGGATGCAACTCGTTTGGCGACCAGGGTGTGTCGATCATCTGCGAGTGCCTCCGCCACGCCGACCAGCTGAGGTCCATCGCCATCTGGGGCAACTCTGTCGGTGACGAGGGCGCCCACAGCCTCATGGACCTGCTCAGCTCATGCCCCGGCCTCGTCAATGTGGTCTTGTCGAACAACGAGATCACCGACAGTGGCCTGACCTCCCTGTCCCTCGCCCTCCCCTCCTGCACCGCCCTCCGCTCCCTCGACCTCTCCGTCAATGCGGCGCTGTCCGACGCAGGTGTGCAGTCGCTCGTGCGGGCTCTCAAAGACGAGGCAAGCTGCAGCCTCGAGAACCTCAATCTCAACAATGACTCTGTTGGGAACGACGGGGCCAAGGCGCTGGCCACGTGGCTGGCCAAGAGGCCGCGGGAGGGCGCCTCGACCGTCACCGACAGTGGCTGTCCGCTCATCACTCTCGACTTGAGCTACAACATGGTGGAGGACACTGGCGCCCGTGCGCTGGCTGAGGGGCTGGAGAAGAACGGCAAGCTGATCGAGCTGAATTTGAGCGGCAATCTGCTGAGTGACAGCGGTGCGCATCGGCTGCTCAAGACGCTGGGCAAGGGCACTGATGTGCCTGGTCGGTCGATTCTGATAGAGGAGATGACCACGGTTAGGGCATAGCATAGCGTTCCTCCATGACGAGAAGAGAGATGACAGCAGCGTTTATTTGTGTGCAAGACGAGAATGTGACGACTCTTTCTGTGGCCCTTGTATACACCTGAATGAGGGGCGTTAGCGTGAGAGTACGAGCGCATTATCACCAAATGCCATGCCACTTATCCCACTTATCAGTACCAATCATCCATCACCAAGCTGACATGAGGTCGGTCCCGCGTCTCTGCGATTGACCCCAACACATGCACGTGTCGGCAAAACCGACAAATGGACAGAGAGGTAGAGAGACCAACGAGCATCGGGAGCCGCGAAGCCCCTGCAGCAAAGAATGAGGGCAACGAAGGAAAACTAGCCCAAGGCGAGAGAGGAGAGAGAAAAGGGTCGAGTCCAAGCAAGGAAGTCAATGGGAAGTCATTTCATCACTGCGTTCCATATAAATCCGACGCAGCCGATCAGGCAGATGACCAGGATGATGCGGCAGAAGAAGTTGCTGTTCTTCTGCTCCTCCTGCACACGCAATTACGGGCAAGCACACAGAGAGAGGACCAACCATCCATCCACTATCAAGCCACCCGTTTCGCATGCACGAGCCAGGCAGGCAGCCCACCATGAACTTTTTGAGTTTGACGTTCATTTTGTTGAGTTCGGCTGATGCCTTCTCGGCCGTCTTCTGTATCTCTGCCGCCATGGCCGTCTGCTTGTCGGCCGTCTGAACAACAAGAAATCACACGCAGGGACACCCCCATCGATGCATCCACACGCGACAAGGGAGACATACACCTGTCTGTCTGTCTGTCTGCCCTTCCGTGTATCGATGGCCTTTCAGTCTGCGGACCACGTTGATTTGTGTTGCGATCTCGCCGAGCCGCTCGACGCCCTCACCGATCTCCTCCACTTGCTTGTCCTGCATCACACACACAGACGAGCATGAGGCAATGCATTGCTTACTCATTCACGTCCGATCCTTTGTTTGTGTGTGGCTTGGCTTGGCTGGCAAATGCTTACAAATTGCGCGTCTCTGTGCTTCCATCGATACATTGCCCTCTCTTCATCCTCAGTTGGGGACCTGATGGAATGACACAAGTGTGGAGAGACACACACGCAGAGACATGAATGAAAACTTGCATTCATCCTCCTCCTGCTGCTGCTGCTGCTGCTGCTAGTGCCCGGCTTACATTGGCTGTCCCCCGGTGCTGTCGACTTGAATGTGCACACCGCCCGCAGACAGACCTAGGCCTGCCCTGAGAGACATAGCAGGCAAACAGTCAATATGTTCCCCTGCTTGTTTTTGTCACTTTGCTGTCCTTTCGTCACCTCTGTTCGAGTACGGTTTTGATTTCGATGTCGTCCTCCCTGTTGAGAGCGCCTCCCGTCTTGAAGCTGGTCTTGGCCTCCTCCAACTGCTTCTTCATGATCTGCAGCGCCTGGAACCGACTCTCTAGCTCCGTCTCCTCAAACTTCTGCACTCACCCAATCCACGGATGCATCCATTCCATGGTGCGGCAACCAACACAGACAGACAGACAGACAGACGTGTGTGCCTGCGCATGTGTGGGTGGGGTTGTTCTTTGGTTGTTTCCTCACTCCTCACTCTCACTCACCCTTCTCTGGTTGCTTTGTTTCTTGTAGAGCTCCTGTATCTTCTTGAAGTCGGCATCGAGGGACTTGAGTGTGTCGGTGATGAAGACGCCCTTCTGGATGACCTCGAACGAGTTGCCCACCCGCTTCTGCAGCACCTGCCGCTCGCGAATGGCCTCCTTGACCTCAAACAGGGCCGAGTATATGTCCTCCTTCAGTCGCAGGAACTCGTCCTTGGGGCCGTCTTTACGGTCCTTGGCCGCCTTGTCGATGGAACCGCACTCCTCCTGGATGCGCTCCAGACGCTTCAGCAGCTCATCCACACCTACACACACACACATACATGACATGCAGCGCAAGAACAGAGAGATTGCAATGAATAAAGGAATGATTCGTGTCGGAAGCAAGTACCGTGCAAAGAAGACGCCATGCTGTCAGCCAATGGCACTTGATGCCACCTCTCGATCTTCGAGAGCTTGCAGACTAGCTCGCCTTCTGGGGACGGGAGGGGAAAAAGCCGACGAACGCTCGCTGGCAGTCAGCAAGAAGCGTGTCGCATGCACAGCTCGCTTGCAGGGCTGTCATAGCTGCAAATTGGCGGATTTGATTGGCGAATTGAAGCTGCGGTAGCTGACTGAGAGATGGGAAGGCTCTTCATACAGGTGACTGACACGCGCACACGCAGAATAAGATAAAGGCAGGCAGCCAGCGAAGAGCAGCACAGACGATAGGCAGCCGCAAGCATGCTTTCGTTCGATGTGTTGCGTTGCTGCTGCTGTTGCGTGTGTGTGTGCCCTGCCTGCAGTACTACGACAAGACGACGGCCCATCGCTGCACCACTTGCGGGACGCACATCACTGCCAAACAGCTGGTCAACTGGATTGGGGTCATGTAAGGCACCACGGGAGCACAGCAACGGACACCGACGGACCTTCTCACTCATGGTATGTGTGTCCTTCTTTTCACGAACGCCATGCAGGGGTCAGCGGCAGCCTGCCAAGAACTATGGCGACTGTATCAATGTCGACTTCAGCTCGGTAAGCTAAGCTCGACCAATGCATTGGACCACGTGTGTGTTGTGTGATTCCCCTCATCCATTCACTCGCCCGTTTGTTTGTTCGTTCGTTCATGTACGCCTGCCTGCAGGACTTTGAGCAGACGTTGAGTTCTGGGACGTACACGCTGCGGTCGGTGTACTGCCGTGTGTGCCGCAACTACCTGGGCTGGAAGTACGTCGCCTCGGGGACGGGCGACCCCGGGAACAAGGAGAAGGAGGGCACCTACATGCTCCTGGACGATAACCTGGAACCCATCGAAGTCTGACACACGCTTATACCTTACTGCCTGCCTGCCTGCCTGCCTTTGTGGGTAATTTGCGCCTGTCCGTTGCTTTTTCTGTGCAGTGCATGTCTATGAGGGGGGTATGGACGAACGAACGAGCGCGGTCGGCCCATTTTGTTTTCTCTGTTTGCGGGCCGGGCCTGCAGAGCGGCTGCAGTGACTGGACGGCTGCTGTACCATAGCTAGCAAGCACAAGAGAGGCAACGAGAGAGATTCTTCTGCCGTGTATAGAAGGGGATTGCAATCACTGCACCTGACCGGCAGACTAAGACAAACAGCCGAGAGCAGAGGTAGAGGCAGGTAGACAGGAGGGGGGGGGGGGG